GGCTTCCCGCGAATCAAATGTTCGCGGGAAGCAGGGGAGGGGGCGGAGACTTTGGGGAAAGGGCGGCGTTGGGGCGGGGGCGGGGCGGGGGGCGGCGCCGGGGCCCCATGGAGTGTCCTCCATTTGGAGGCACAAAATATGGTAACCCTAACCTAAACTTTGGATTTAGGCACCTACAGTGGGAGTTAGGTGTCTACATTCTTTTGTATATCTGGGCCACAGAGACTAGAAATGACCCTCTTTAAGGGCCTGACACAAAGTCCATTCAAGTTGATAGGAATCTTCCCACTGATTTTAATGGGCTCTGGATCAAGCCCTGAGAACCTAATCTTACAATGCACTGAGTACTGCCTGCATGCAAGGCTTTGAGGACTGTCAGCTCACCACTGGCTTTAAGGGAGCTGAGGTTTCTCAGGACTTTACAGGAGGGGCTCAGCAACCTGCAGGACTGGTTCTAAAATATTCATCGTTTGAACATGTCTTTGATTTCACTGGGACCAGAGTCATGATGCCAAAGAGCATTTGAAAAAGCAGTGAGGAAGTGTTTTCGCTTGTGGTGGGGTCGGTGGGTGATAGACAGAGATACACACACAGCCCAGAATGTTTCTCCAGAAAAAGGAGCTCTTTGCTTTGGTCAAGCAGTGTCATAGGAGGGGCAACAGTCTTAGTCCAGGCCTCCATAATATATTAGAGCATGAGCTGATCTTATTAGATTGTTTAAAAACTCACTCTCCTCATCAGTGCCAATTCAGTGGACTGAAGTCAGATCCTTCGCACAAAAGAGTCAGGGCACATGCTGGAAAGGATTTTAAAATTGGAGCATCAAGCATCAGCACTGTAATACCAGCAACCAGCTGTGCTTTGGTGCCTGGGAATGTGGGAGGTAAGAGTGGAGAGGCACTGGGCCTTCCTGTATCCTGTCCCCTTCCCTACCAGATCAGGTCATACTGTGTTACTTGTGAATGACCCAAGTGAAGATTGAGGGTTGTCAACACCTAGCCGAATTGTGACCTGGGACAAACTCAGATGTGAAAGTAAAATTGAGTCCTTACCGGTAAGGGGCTGGCTCTGCGCTCCCCCCTCCCCCCAGAAGGGGCGGGACCTTGAGCAGAAGGGGTGGGGCCGGAGGTCAGCGTCCCCCAGCCAGCCCATCTGCTCTGCCTGGCCTGCACTGTCTGGGGTTCCAGCAGCGATTTAAAGAGCCTGGCACCCCTTTTAAATCGCCGACCCCAGGGCAGCTGTTACTTTTGCCCCCCCGTCGGCGGCCTGGGGGAGCAGGGAGTAAAGGGGCGACGACGTTGTATCAAGAGCTGCTACCCCAAGTATCCCCCTCGAGAGTGGGGCCTCCACAGCGAAAGAGGCGACAATTCTGCGGAAAAGGCCTTTCAATGCTTGGCTGCTGGGCCCCTGGAAATGATGGTCCATCATCTTACTGCCACTACACCTCTACCTCGATATAATGCTGTCCTCGGGAGCCAAAAAATCTTACTGTGTTATAGGTGAAACCGCTTTTTATTGAATTTGCTTTGATCCGTCGGAGTGCGCCAGCCCCCCCCCCCCCCGGAGCACTGCTTTACCGCGTTATATCCGAATTCGTGTTATATTGGGTCGCGTTATATCGGAGTAGAGGTGTACCACTGCTGATCCTGTGGCTGAAAATACTGGGCTGCTCACTCTGTCCACCCAAGCAGTGCCATTGAGGCAGACATGCCAACTCTTGCAACTTTAACGTGAGAGGTGATGATCTCACAACAGAACTCAGGCCTGACTGAAAAACAAAACAAAAGCAAAACTGACATTTGAGAGTTCCAGCACGAGATCATGAGTGAGGCTTAATTTTACTTAGAAATTGCTACCAGTCCCTGGTGGCCGGGGCTCCCTACTGTCAGCCTGGAAAGTGGGAGAGAGGACCCCACTGCAGCCCCTCCAGGCCTAGGGAGGATGAAGAACAGTAAGAAGAGCTGAGAGCAGAGGGGAGGCTGGGAGGGCTTAACTATGGCCCACTGCAGGGGAGCTGAAGTAAGGAGGGTGAGGGTCCATGGGGTGGGGGGGCTGAAATGATGGAGTGGGGATGATGGGGGAAGGGAGACTGAATTGAGGGGGGTTGGGTGGCAACAGTACTGAGGGGGAGGGACTGAGAGACAGGATTAATTGCTGGGTAGGAGAGTGGTATATGTGGGGGTGAGAGCTCCTGCAGCAGCTCTCGCCCCTTATCCAGTACATGTGGGAGAATGGGCAACACTAATTGTCACTGGCACACACCCTAGGGATGGGCAGGTGGGAGTTAAAAAAATCAAGAAACTGACCTAAAAAATACACACTATCGTTTTTTTAAAGAATCTCATGATTTTGGGGGGTCCAACTCCTGATTTCCGATGGCTTGAAGTTGGCAGAGGTGACACACTTTCACTTCTAGCTGTAGGTCCCAGCCACCCACCTGTCACAGTGGGAGGGGCACTGGGGGGTGACTCATTTAGGCAGTTAACAGCAGTGGAAGGTGTTGTGACTCACAGGGAAAGTGACAAAGTCTTTGGGGGACAAAAATTTCAGGAGTGGGGAGCGTGGCAGGAGGAAGAGAGGGTGGCCCAAGTGGGTACCCCACCAAAGGGTGGTAAGTGCTTAAGTTCAATGTTAGGCTTGATCCACCCTCCTCTCCAGCGGGCCCTGGGAACCAGGGGGGAGGGACACAGAGGCTGGCTGGGGGGTTAGATCTCACACCTCCGTTCAGCCAAGGGCACCCTATAAAAAGTCCAATCTACAGCGCAGACACACCCACATCCCCCAAAGCAGGCAGGCGCTGCACAGACGCTCTGCTGTGTAACCCAAGGCTGGGCCCTCAGGCTCCTCTTGACACCGGTGCCTGGCGAGCAGCGTCCCGGCGCGGGAGCAGGAGGCCCCGGCTCGCCACCCCACGGGCCGTGCAGAGCTGGGGGTGAGGGGCGGCTCGCTGGGCCCAGGCGACGGCCCCCAACACCCGCCTTCAAAGCCCTGCCTGAGGCGGGCTGGGGGCGGCGGGAGGGGGCGCGCTCGGCACACGGCCGCCGCTCGGGCAGCAGGAGCCGAGGCTGGGGCGGGTCACGTGCCGCAGCAGCAGCTGGCAGGAGAGCGTGAGCCCCGCGCCCGCGCCCCTGCCCCGGGGAGAGCCGGCTGCTCGCGTTGCACGCAGGCCGCGGGGTGGGGCCGGCAGGAGGCCTGGCGGGGCTGCGCTCTGCTGGGCCCCTCAGGGGCAGCTGAGCGCCCGAGAGCCGCGGGGGGGGGAGGTGTTACCCAGCCCCCAGAAACACAGCGGGGAGGGGCCGAGCTCCTGCTGCAGCAGCCCGGGCGGCCCACGGCTCGGGGCTGCCGCTGTTACCTTCGTGACTGCGCCCGTCTCCGGATCAAAGGGACGCGCGCCGCAAGCTGATTTCCCGCGGCGGCCGCTGCTCCAGCCCCTCCCCCGCGCACCCCCTGCCTGCCCCCAGCACGGGGACTCAAGTGCATCCGGCTCCGAGGTTCATTTTCCAGCCGCGATTCACTGCGACGGGGAACATGCTCCCCGGGTCTGTCGCCGAAATGAGGGGCTGCTCCGCGGGAGCCGGCCGCCGGTGGTGGTGGTTAGACGGGGCACGGAAAAGATCCCCCCCCCACACACACACACACAGTTTCTGCATTGAAATACGCGGCCCGGGGGAGCTTTCTGCAGGGCCGCGGGGAGAACACAGCGAGCGCTTGCTTAATAAAACAAACAAGCGGGGCTGTCCTCCCTTGACAGGGCCAGTTGGCATGTGTGTGACAGCTGCACACGGCAGGCCGTGGCAGGGGATTATCACACACACACGCCTTTGCGTGGCAGGAAGGAGCGAAGCAAAGTGCCTGTGCTGCAGGCTCCGGCAGGGAGAGGCGGCAAGGTTTGCAATGCAGTCAGCAGCCAGGAGGGGACGGGAGAGCAGGTGAAGCTGCTTTCGCAGCCGATCGCTGCTGTTTGAAGCCTTGCCGCTGACCCGAGGGCTCCCATTACATTACATTCTGCAAACACACATGGCCTGTACCCGCGGGTGGCAAGGCCGCTCCAGCAGCGCATCCGGAGACACCTCCCCCCCTTTGCTCCCCAGCGCCCTTCCTCTTGAGTCCCGGAGTGTAATGCATCAAGATCGCCAGTGTCCACCTCGCTGGGCTAGGGCCCCTCGCTCCCGACCCACCCTAGCGCACACAGGCAGTGTGTGCTCTGTCATTTGCAGCCGGCTGAGCACGAGTTCCGCAGCCTGCCCGTGCGGGCGGCCACCATCCGGTGGCTGCTACTCCATGCCAGGCGGTTGGGGTGGGGAAGTGGCTCCTGCAGTTTCCCTTCCCTTCCCCCGGGCGGCTTGCTTGCACATCTGCGTCTGGCAGAAGATCTGTGCGGTGTCGGGCGGGGGGAGGCGGCGAGACGCCATTTGCATCCACAGACACACTCGGCTCAGAATAGGCGGGGGGAGAGGCTGGGGGCACAGCTGAAGCGAAAGGCAGAAAGCGGGCGGGTTTCCTTTCTGCAGCTCGGAGCGAGGCAGGGCTGCGACCCGGGAGAGGTCTCCTGTTTTCCCGGTGCGCGTGTGCGGTCAGTTTTTGCTGCCTGATCGCTTGTTCTGTGCAGAAACTTGTGTGCTCCAGCTGGGGTCTGAAGGGCAGAGTTAAGAGGCACGTTTGGGGGAGAGGCCTTTAAATCCTGTTCTGAGTTTGCAATCAGACTTTGTATTCCGGGGGCTCAGTTCTGTCTTCGCTTACGCACCCCTGCAGCCCAGGGCAGAATTAGGCCTTGGCTATTCTTAAAGGTACTGATGGATCATTCTCCAAGGTATGAGTTCAAATAGGCCTTTTCTTGCACACAGTTTGTTAGTTAACCCCCTCCCCTCCCCCGATCTGTGTATATCCCGCTGCTCTCAGGCTTGCAGCCGGTGTGTGAGCTCCCAGCTCATTTTCCAGCCATGAAACAAACACCTCCCTCCCCCAAGCGATAGCAAATAACTTCGTAGCACAAATGAAACTGCTTGCCATTAATGCGCTTAGCTGTATTGCTGGGGACGCACACGCCGGGTGCATTATGGAAGAAGCCTACTTGAAGGGGAAGCCTTAAGCGTTGCGTTTGCCTGCGAGGCATGTTGTGACTGGGAAAAGTGAATTCGGAATAGGAGGAGAGAAAGCTGCTGAAATATCTGCGCTAGCTTCGCCCGCTGACAGCCATTCCTTCACGTGTATTTCAAACACCATGGTTGATATTTTGTATTTCAGCCGGGCAGCCTAGAGATCAGCGATTAATATTGCAAAAATGCTTTGTCAGTGGAGGAAAGCAATGGTTTGTCTCGGGTAGTCAACATATCACTAACCATGTGTTTGTGGAAAAAATGGAGTCATCACTGGACTGTTTCCTCCGGGCATATTTGTTTATGCTCGCTCCCTTTTCTAGAAAGGCCACTTCTGTTTAATTGTTCTTTCGTGTTGGGACTCCTGGGTTCTTCACCGGCACATGCAGGTTATATTGCAGTTCCCCTCCCCACGTATTGATTTATCTTATGTGGTTCTAAACCTCACATCCAAGGTGTTTTTTTTAAATAATGCAAGACCCCAGTGATCGTGGCTTATCGTTTTAATAGAACACTGTGTGTGTGTGTTTGTGTACGCACCCTTCTTGCATATGCCTGAGGTTACAGCCTCTGACCAGACAATATTTAAGTGTCAGGCAGCTATGCTCTGGCATTCTTAAATACAGCTGCACATTAATATGCAAGAACGCAAAGCTAGGTATTTGCTCTCTACTGCAGGGATTAATTCAGTCTCCTCTTTCGTCAGTGCATTGCTTCTCTTACGTGTGGAGTTTCCAGTATGCTGTCCGTAGTTTCAGCTTTCTTGTCTCTCTGTTATAACAAAAAACTTGATGAGTTTGTCCGTTTGTTCTCGAGGAACCAGAAACCATGATTAAGTAGGGTTATATTTCTTCAGTGCATTAATTTAAAGACAGTCAAACTTAAAGATGGACATCTACGGGGCTATGAATTGAAGAAAAAAACTGGGAGTACTGGGACCCAACATAAAGTTTAATATGCAGTGAGACATGTAAGGAGCCTGGCTAATGTACAGTACTTAGGGGGTTTTCTCATGAGCACACAGCTCACTTAACAAATTGCTTTATTATTTAGAGTGATTATTAGTGTTATTTAAACACCGATGAATGCATGGAACATGACTGCTGGAATTTACATTCCTAAAAACAATTAAATCAATGGGGAGTACAGCTTAAAAATCGAGGTGGCCCAATGTAATGCTCTTTGACCATAAACAGTCGCCTCCTTTAGCAATAAACCACGAAGTGGCTGTGAAGTACCGCCATTCTCGTTGAAAAGAAAGTTTTCATCGGTGCTCCCAGTATAAGTCATTTTTGCCCTTAACAATGAGGTGTCAGGATAAGGTTAGTGAGAGGCGTAAGCAGCCTTTTGTATCAAGTATCAGGGGGTAGCCGTGTTACTCTGAATCTGTAAAAAGCAACAGAGGGTCCTGTGGCACCTTTAAGACTAACAGAAGTATTGGGAGCATAAGCTTTCGTGGGTAAGAACCTCACTTCTTCAGATGCAA